GTTGCCCTTTTAAAAACGAAAATGGCGGCTGCCTTGGTTTAAAAAGGAAAACAGACAAGAGTGTAAATAAACGTAGAAGTGGCAATTGACCCCTAAGTTGATCGGGTAAAGTAATCTAAAGAAAATTTTGAATAGTTTTGAATTTGGATTATTGCATTTGACACTCAATTATTTAGGTCCGGATAAAGGAGTTCGTGGATCAGTCCGATCTTTCAAAATTTCTGCCCACGGCCACGCCCGACCATCAGGCTTGAATCATTTTTTAAAATATAAAATATTAAAATATAAAATATTTTTATAATTAATTAATTAATAATCTTAATATGGTCCTTCTAATATTTCAATTCCGCTGTTTTAATTTTTTTACTTCAATTTTAATAATTGAACTCCTATACTTTTATTAAAATTTCATTTAAAGGCAAATAATTATCTGATTGAGGCATATTAATTTTTCGGTTACATGACATTATCAATCTAAAAAATTTCATATTTTATTTTAAGTAAATATTAATTGATAATTTTAAATTTTATTTACTTGACGAGTTTAAATTTAAGTTTCAAATTAATTTAAATTTAGATGTGAGTTTATCGTGTTAAAATTAATTATAAATCCAATTCAAATTGAACATGTTTAAGTTTTGACACTTTCAAGTTTTAATGAATTGATCATTTTCTTGAATTTAAATCAACATTTTATTTTACATATCGTAAGAAAATACATATTGTAGCATTAAACCAAACATAAAATTTCTTCTGACAATTGTACTTAAGGCTAATGTGATCCAGTTGTATGTAAGAATTGCATAAATCCATTTGGTCTTAAAATTCAGCATCTCATGTTTCATTCCAAGTTAAAGTACTTTGTATTTGGTTGAGTGTTAAAGGACTCTTACTTTTCAATAATATTAATGATTAACGTGCACGAATATGTGCATTGCAATCATCAAAATTCTTGTGGTAAGACACTGCTAATTCAACGAAAAGCAAAAAGTAATTCGGTAAATAATAGTAAGTGGTTTTTGTTTTATTCAAATTGGTGCATAAAATGCGTATCTTTGTCTAATTAATCAAAATTAAAAACTAAAGAATGATAAACAAACTTTGTTTCTTTCAATTTAAGTAATACAAAAGAAAATTGAATTCAAGGTCCTTGATCCTCATTTGTCTTTAATAAAAACTTTAAAAAAAAATTAAGTGACCAAGTTCAGTTAACCACTCTAAGATGAACCTTAAACATCAAATTGGGATCAAACTTATTAGATCAAGGATGAGCTTTTTTAGCACGTTATCAAATTTCATGAAATCAAATATTCCTTTTGAATTGACTAAATTTAGATTCTGACCCATATACTTTTAACCTTGGCCTCTAATTGTCACAATCAAGAATCACATGACAAAATATTGAGCGATTATAAATTGGTTTACTATGCCCTTTAATTTGTTTTTAATGGGTTGCTTGGGCAACACATTTTTTCATATATAATAATATAATAATTATATTAATGGAATAATTAGATGATTGATAATTTAATTATATTCCTTAGCTAACACCATTGACTGAGCTATACCACTCTAAAGGTGATATTCCGATATTCATTAATCAAATAACCACAGTCTTTGAATAACCGACAGTTTGGCGATTTTTCTATTTGCTTTTTGTATTGTATAGTAGAATTATTTTTCTAGCTAATTTGTAACCTTTTGATTGAGTAATAAAATTGTTTTAGCATTGAAAAATATAATTTTTCATAAATTTATTAGATTTGATATAAATAAATTTATTTAAATCGATTTTGATTAATGATATATTAGACAAATCCTAAATAAGAGAAGAGAAGGTTACAATTCACCACTATATCCTACTCAAATTTGTTCATAAGAGCTCTTGCTTATTTCAGAACCAATATTAAGAAGGGCCCAAACAGATCATTTTTTTAGATTAATTAAAAAAAAAAAAAAAGATTAGGCCATTGCTTTGATCTTCTGAATAAAGGAAAGCTGGTCAGACTTGGCGAGGAAAAGGTAAAAGTGAAGTGACAATATTTTTTATGTAACACAAATTTGGTCTAGGAAAAAGTCAATTTAGGATATCTTACAAAATTAATTAAACTTGGATTAGTCTTATTATGCAATAGATAATATTCCAAGAATTTTATTAAGACCTTAAAGCAACACTCAGCAGGAAGCTTCCTTTTAGTTTGAATTCAGACTGAAATAGTTATTACTAAAATCATTGGAGTATAGACTATAAACAAATTAATTAACCCTCCATTTTGGTTTGATCTTTATGGTCCGCTAATTTCGCCTCTTATATCTTCAATCTTTCTTCAAATTTTCATCTTAACTTGTTTGCATTGAACAAGAAACTGAAGTCAATATAATTGTATGAGGGAAACAAAATTATAACTCAATCGACCTATATAGATGGAAAAATTGGAGAGAAAAAGAAAGAAAGGTTTTAGGTTTTGTTTGTTTTGTAAAAAATAATTTTAAAAAAATGATTTTTATATTTTTAAGTATCTATTTGATAAAAAATTGACTAGTCAATAAAAATAATTTATTGATTAATTGAAAATAAGACACGTTTTTTTAAATTGTATTATCCTTTTGAAAAGGGGAAGAAATTTTTGAAAAAGAAAATTGTCTATAAGTAGAATTACTTATTAGTGTGTTTTAGCATAATTTTATTTAAGTTGGATCTTATGCATTATTTTTTAATTCAAATTTAATTTGATCTGACCTAAAATATTATTATATTAATAAATAATATTTTTATTTAATTTTACTTAAAAATTAAAATATTAATATTAAAAGTGTTTTAATATTTAATTTTAAATATTTTTATAATTCTACTCAAATAAGATTTTCAACATAATATTTTAAGCTCAATTTTGATTTAATTCGACTTAAAATATTATTATATTAATAAATTTCATTTTAATTAAAAATTAAAATATTAACATTAAAAGTCTTTTGATATTTTAATTTTGTATATTATTAAACAGAAATATTTTTAATGTTTCAATAATAAATAGTATTATATTATTATTTTAATAATAATTAATAACATATAATAATATTTTTTATTTTTTTAATAATTAATGTTAAATAATATAATAATATTATTCTCTTAATATGAATTTATTTAATAATTTATTTTTATTTTATTTTTACGAATTGAAAAGAAAAAGAAGACAAAGAAAAAAAAAGGAAAGTTTTGTTTTAGTAAAAGATATTGATCTAGTTGGGAAACAGTGTAAATTTACCACTATAATTATGTGGATTGTTCAAATTTATCATTAATCTTTCAATTAGTGTAATTTTACCATTCACTTTTTAATTTATTATCATACTTTAAATTTTAAAAGCAATTAAAGAATATTCAATACAAAATTATGTTAAAAACTACTTTATGATTCAAAAAATAATTTTGAAAATAATATAGCATGTTAGAAAACAATCATGAAGATAAAATCCAGAATTTTCTTTTTATTTTATTTCTTTTCTTTTTTATCATGGTATTTCTTGTATTAAATATAATGCCACATAATCCAATTTTTTCTTTTTATTTTATTCTTTCTTATTTCATCATGATATTTTTTATTGTATATAATACCAAATTATTTTTTTTCAATTGATATTGGTTTTTTTCTTTTTATTTTTTAATTATAAAACACTTTTTAACAGAATTTTATATCAAAAATTATTTAATTGATCCAAAATTTGAAATACGATAATAAATTTGCTCCAAATTTAAAACTACAGTGATAAAATTCCACCAGTAGAAAAATTAGTGATAAATTTGGATCACTTACATAAATAAAATTGTAAATTTATAACTTATTTCAACCTAATTTTTCTGTCGGCGCAATATAAATCAATTCTTGTAGTTCATAGTTTTAACTTTCCAATTTGCAAAATTTATGACAAACAAAATGACTTCCTCTCCATAGTATAACTATCTACTGTTTTCTTTCACTAGTAATAGATATACATGTATTTAGAATTCAAATCTAAAAAGAAATGCGAGCTATTGAGCATTATTATATTGCATAGTTCAGTATCGCATAAAAAAAAAAAAGCCCATTGAAAGCAGAGAAAATAGGAAGTAGTATTTGAAGTTCAATTTGAATAAAAGTTTTTGACTCATTTTATAAGAAGGAAAAGAAAAATAGAAGAGAGAGTTGCTGCGGCAACCACTCCAAGACCATTCTAGATGGTTTCATTTTAGTAAAAGGGTTTGATCAACCTAATTTTTTTGAGTAAACTTTGAATGGTTTGGTCATAGTTCCTTGTTCTATTATAATTTGAACATTCTTGTTTTATTCAAGAATTTTCTTCAATTTTTTTAGCTGTGTTGCATATAGGTGATATGTTTAAATAAAATTACACTCTACTTTCTTTTTTTTTATTTAGTAAGGTAGAATTGAAGTTCAAATTTATGATCTCCAATTAAATTATAAACAATTTGAGATTAAATACTATTATTACTTTGGCTAGCATGCAACCACTTATATTTATTTGCTCTTTGTATATTTCATATTATATCATTACGTAATATTTCATATGATATCGTTATGTATTTTATTAGTATTATTTTATGTAAAATTTTGAATTTAAATTTCAAAAAGTAATTATTAATATCTTCGTTACGCGGAATCTCGAATTTAAATCTTAAAAAGTTGGTAGATAAAATAAGTTGGCTTTTGCTTTTAACGTAGCCAATAGATAAAATTATTAAGAGTTATATTATATCATAATTCCTAAATTATTTTTTGGAAGAGAAATATGTGACAATGAATCTTAAAACAGTGTTATTAAAGTGTATTTATCATTCACCTACCAACTGCCAAATCCTTTGTCTTTGATGTATAAGACAAGTGATCTCTTGAAATTATTGCCATCTTAATTTTTTATATAAAAAAAGTTATAATACAAGGATAAAAGAAAAAATTATAAGTGTTTGAATCGTAAATTTATAATTACATAAATTAATTAGATTAAACTTTGATTTTTATTGTCATCTTCTTCGCTAATTCCTCAACTTTACATAGAATGGTAAAAAGGAAAAAGAGGATACACATTTAAAATTTAAAATATCAAAATGTGAACCTTCTTAAATCTTTACTTACAAAAGGGGGGGTTCTAAAACAAAAGTTCAGGCAAAACAAAGAAAAATAAATGAGAAAAAGAAGATTGATAGCATAGAAGTAGAGATGAGCAAGATTTTTTTTTTTTTTTTGGTTTACCAAGGTCTAGCTGTTTGATCAGAGGAATTCAACAGTTCTTCCAGGTAATCAGCACCTAAATCCTCCAATACCATCACATTGTTTATCCTCACATCTCTTTCTTTCCTGCTTCTGCTCATCATTTTCCTCCTCATGGAATGTTTCCTCTTTAAAGCTACCACTGGTGAACACCCTTCCTCTTGGTTGCACTTCATGTCTCTCAGTGATTCCTGCACTTTTTCGACCGGAAAGTTGAGTATCGCGGCTGAGCCTCTCATGGCGAAAGCAGCTTGATCATAAGCCAAAGCAGCTGCTTCTGCACTGTCAAATGTTCCTAGCCAAACCCTTATGCCATGCCTGGTTGAATCCCTTATCTCAGCCGCAAACTTCCCCCAAGGCCGCCGTCTTACACCTCGGTATGACTTTTCTTTCTTGGGACTTTCCTTCTCCATTGAGCTAACCTCTTCTTCTTTCACTTGAATAGGACACGTTATTTCTGATGTTTCTTGTGTAGCCTCCGCGAGTAGCCCATATAACAGCATCTCTTCAGAGTCATTTTCATTGAAAGGAAGAGAGTTGTAATTGAAAGGAAAAAATTCCGGTGACCCAAATGAAGATTCCGATGAGGAGTTGGAATTTGGGGAGTGAAAAAGGAGAGAATCCATTTATTTTTCAGGCTTTGGAAGCGTTTGTCTGTAACTCTGTTTTTTTCTCTGTTTTTTGGTTGTAAGCGTTGGGAGTTGGAGGCAGAGCAAATCTCCATTTTATACTCCAAATTAAGGTGGGGAAGGATTTAAATGTAAAATAATACGGCATAAGAAAATGGTCAAAAAAAGATTGACAAGTGGCAAAGATGCTGACATGGCACCATATTGTTGATTATTTTAAGTTGGTTCCACAGCCAAGATTAAATGAACACGTGGGTCAATTCTGGCGTGGCGGCCAAGTCCAAGCAAGTGATGTCAGCAGATGATCTCAGTTTTTGTTGGATATGAAGCATGGGACCTTGTCCACTTGTCACCCCACGTGGATGATGTGACAACTCGGCTTGGCAGTTGGAAATAACAGTTAAAATTATCAACAAATTTTGGAGAAAATTTGAAAATATAGTGTCTTTTTCTTGCACTCACGAAAATTTTCTTGTTTTTCCAACGGGACTTTTTTTTTCCTTACGGGAAAATTCGATTCCATATTTAATCACTTAGATGGGATTGGTTATGAAAAAAAAAAAAAGAAATTTTAATTTCACATAGAAATATATTTTTTTATCTTTTTTATATTTCATAATTTTTTTTGATAATTAGTACTTCTTTTATCTATTTTCTTTGTCCATCTTTTTTTTTTTGAATTTTTAAAATTATGTCTCATTTTTTTTAACATCTAAAACTCTTATTTTTTTATATTTTAAAATTATTTTTTATGATTTTTTTTTATTTTTTAACGTTAAAAATCATAAAATTTTAATTTTATAAAAAAAATAATTTTAATATTAAATATATTAAAGCCAAAACATTTTTCTTAAATTTCATGAAAATCAATGCAAAACAAACAAATAGGGATAGAAGAAGTATAAATTTAAGTGTAAATTTAGGCCCTTAATCAATTCTAAGAAAGACAAATAAAAGTCAAGATGATTCATCATTGCAAATTGAAACATGATGAAGTGTTTGATAAAAGGTTTAACAGAAAGGAGAAAGAAAAGTAGTAGTGTCATTTGTGGATGAAACTCCATGGTTCCTTCCATACGCTCCACAATGTCTACCTTCTTTCGATTACAAGGAGTTGAATTTTCAGAGATGGAATAATATCAGCTGGGGTGGGGACAGTCAAGCTTTGCATGGATGATGATTATTTCAATGGGTCTGATGATTACAATATAAATAAGAAAAAAGATTGAAGGTGGCTTTATTTTATTTGACAAACTGTTGAAATTTTCTTCTAATTGATTTGGGAGAATGATAATTGTCTAAATGCCATTTGAGTTTTTCTTTTCGAATTTAATTGAAGTAAGATCTAATTAGCACTTTACCTAGGGTGACGGATCAAATTTATAATTATTTTTTTTAATAATTGATAACTAAAGTTAACGAGGAAAGAATGTTTCATACGGAAATAAAATTTTTTAGCTTTTATTATTTTTTACTAAATTTAAAAAATATACTATTAAATTATGGAAATGAAAAATGTTATGGGAAAATCAGAAAATTAAATTGCTAAAAATAAAAAGAAAAGAAATACTATGATATGTAAAATGTTAAAATGGTGATAAAATAAATCACACATCAATTAAATTAGATGCATCTTAAGCATATGAATAAAATAAGGATCACTCCACTTATTTTTAATTGATTTTAAATTAAATGTTCATCTTCAAAAATTAGTATAAAAATCCTCTTATACTAATGTAAAAGTTATTTTTTTTATTTTTAATCAAAATGATTAAAAATAAGTATTATAAATTTAATTTTAATATAAAAATAAAAAAGTAATTTTTATACTAATATAAATGAATTCATACTCATATATATATATATATAATATTATGCGTGTGAAATTTTAGGGTAACATTCAGAAATGAAAAGATACCAGTCAAAAGAACTTGAATGGTAGTTAGATATGTTCTCCAATGCTCAAATCGGTATATGTAAGAGATGAGCTCAAAGGGCAAACTAAGGCATGAGAATGGAATAAAAAATTTAGTGCCAAAATTGTACTTGCTTTATAAAGCAATTGTTTCTCTCTTTTCACTCAAAAAAGACAAAAAACTTCGCCAAATCTCATAAAAAAAAGAAGAAATTTATTGACTATCTAGATGATAAATTTTCTCATTAAGTTTGGATTTTGCAAACATGTTAATGAATTTTCAAGCACGCCTTTATAGTTATAAAAACGAGATTCATGTGAAATGATTTTTACAAAGAATCTATTAATCGGAAATTGCTGCCCCAAGCCAAAAGCCCGACTCGACGTGAAAACTCAAATTTGGAAGTGACGTTTATGTCCTTTCTTCCAACGTAACAATAAATATACGATAACATCATTTTAATATAAATTTATAGTCAAAACGAATACGATAAAATTTAAAATTTAATATTATATTAAATATTTAATTTAAAATTAATTAATAATAGATGAAGAGATTTAATTTAAATTTAAAATGAAAAATTCATTATATAACACATGTAAAATAATATCATTTTAACAATAATAATGATAAATTATTTTAAATTATTTTTTTATTTAATCAAAATCATTATCCTAAACATAGAGCCTATCAAATATCAGTCAAATTTCGAATTTTTGGTGGCCCCTCATTTGAAAAAAAATGGCCTAGGTACATGCACCAGAAAAATAAATTCGGAAAAATACTTCTAAAGTCACAAAAAACTAGAATTTGTTGGAAAAGTCCTCCAAAAAAATGGATACTTAGTTTGATAATGACTAGACTCGTATTTCTGTTGAAGTCCAGAAGGTGTATCTTCGATATAATTCAACATTTTGATGTGAAGCTTCCGGGAAAGGAAGGACCGTTTTGGAATTGATAGCTATTTCCGGTGGACAAAGAGACAAGACCAAGATCTTCATCCAGTTTAGAAATATCAAATTACTGATTATAAGTTTAAGACTTGGGTTTTCCTTCTTTTGTTTTTGGAATTTTTGTTTTTTATGTTAACTTATTCTTAGGGTTGAGTGGACATTTTTGTTGGCATATCTACTAAATGGTTGAGAGCAAAGTTCAGTTCTCTTCAATTGGTGGGTGAAAAGCCAGCCACCCATTCCCTTCTTCCTTTCTTTTTTTTGGCCCTGCATCAATTTCAGTATTTAATAATGTGAATTATATTTACACTGAAAAAAAAAAAGGGAAACAATTTGATGGTAAAAGAATAAAAGTCGAGAGATTCCATAAAATTTTTAGTTGAACTGATCTCTTTTTGTCTCATATATATAGTGTGTGTGTTTTTTTTTTATATTTTAAAATATTTTATTTATAAAAATGAATCAATACGGCTTAACCTTGAAATTTCAGACAATACAAACTCAAAATGACTTAAAAGTTGAGAGTAGTTGAATTAAATATAGACCGAAGACCTAATTAACTTGAAACCAAATCAAAGATACAAACACCCAAACCCTATCCAAAATCAACGCAACATGTAAAGTAGCTAGTATTACATGATATTGAAGACCTTTCACTTGTTTCTTAAATTAACCCACTTTTGTATCCTATTATTCTTTCTTTTGTAATATTTTATTTAACCCTGTCCATGAATCGAACTGTTTCTTAATTTGATTAGATTGGATCTTAAACATAAATTTTAAATTTAGATCTGATCCCATTTAGTCCGAAAGCATATGTTATTATTGAATAATTAATTTTATTTAATTTTAATTTAAATATATATTTAAAAATAGAAAATATTTTAATAATAAACATAAATAGATTTTGATGAACAGATCAACCGAGTCTTGAACAAACATAAGGGTTTTGAATTGTAATCAAAGCCAATCCATGGACATCTCTAGTTTTACCATATAAAGCAAATTACTGTTGATCGATTACTTGGTCTTTCTTGCCTTCACGCTTTAAATACCTAATTCAAAGAAAAAAGAACACAAAATTTAACCAAAAGCATAATTTAAATTTGAAATTAATAAAAAAATCAATGGAAGGTTAGAGAAACAGAAGAAACATTAATAAAAAACCTACAACGAAGAATATGTTTGAAAAATCAGCTCTGCTAGAAACTCAAGATATATGCTTTGTTATTTATTTATTTATCTCACATGGAAAGTTGAGAGCTACGGATCTGCTGCAAGTTGCAAAGTTCCCCAGTGGTCCAAATTTGTCACGAATTGGAAAACCAAAAAAGGAAAGATAAAAAAGTTTGTCACGAGCGAGTAATTATTTTAATCATAATTAAGAATTTATCCGAATTTGAAATTATATTTTAATAGCTAACGTAGTAATTTTATATTATATCAATTATAAAATAAAGAATATCTCTGCATCAATTTTTAAAAAATACATAAAAAATTACATCCAATTTTACTGTTTTGGATTCAAACGTGTGAAGTAGGACGAACAAAAATTGTATTTGATCCGGTCAATAAGTCACAAATAAGGGGGCAAACCGATTGTCATCAACAAAAAAATGAAACATATAATTGTAAGAGTAAAAATTCTCTTCCCATATGTGTTAATTATATAGCCATAAAAAATAAATAGAAAAATTAATTATAAGAGAAAAAAAAAACCAAATTTCTAACAAGAAATGATGAACGTCTAAAATTCAATCAATCTAAAATATGATCATAGTCAATTTGAGATTCAATTCGTGGCAAAAGGAAAAAAAGATTTGGGATTCTATTAAACCAAACAAGAACTAACAAAGATATAAATTCGAAATTGAAAGCACAAGATTCTTGAGATCAAGTAGACTTTTCTTTTGTCTTTATTCATGAATGTTCAAAATCAAGATAAAATTTACCTTAATTTTACAAACATTTTACTGTTTGATAAATTATCTTGATTCCTAAATTCTCTGGTTTTCCACTAGAGAAAACCAAACACAATTTAATTTTGAAAACAATAAAATCAGAAACAAAAGAATAACGGAGTAAATGAAGAAGGAATGAAGCATCTAATGAGAACATATATCTTTGCAATTTGCAAAGTTCTTGAGTGGTCCAAAACTTCATCAGAAATGGAAAAAAAATAAAAAAGAACAAATTTAAGTTACAAAAAGAAAACTT